AAAGCTAAGCTAAAGCTAAGCTAAAGCTAAGCTACAGCTAAGCTCAAGCTAAGCTAAAGCTAAGCTAAACGCTAAGCTAAACGCTAAGCGAAAAGCTAAGCGAAACGCTAAGCTAAAGCTAAGCTACAGCTAAGCTAAAGCTAAGCTAAAGCTAAGCTAAAGCTAAAGCTAAAGCTAAAGCTAAAGCTCCCAGGGGACTGGGGGGAACCGCGGGGCGGGGACTGGGGGAACCGCCCGGGGCGCTTTGCACTGCCCGGCCCCTTTAAGCTAAGAGAGTAAGAACCCTTCTAGGCAGAGCCTAGGTAGGGAAAAAGTGGTTGCCTCGGTGAAAACAGCAAACGACTTCAGGGAGCAAACCAAAACTTCGGCAACAAAAATATGCCTTCACGTAGTGTTCCCCAACCATCCTGTGGTGTTAGGCCCTCGTGTTGAAGAGACAGCGCCTCGCGTCCTCTCCTCCTCTCCAGTTCTCCAATCCTCCTCCCCCTCCTCCCTCCTCCCATTCCCTGCCTCTGCTCTCATCGTGCCGCCATCACCGTTAGCATCGTCATGAACATTATCATCATCAGCAGCATCCTCATCATTATCGTCGTCATCATCAGCATCCCCGTCGTCGTCAACATCATCATCATCATCAGCAGCAGCAGCATCATCATCATCGTCATCATCACTATCATCGTCGTCATCATCATATCAGCATCAGCATCATCATCAGCATCAGCATCATCATCCTCATCATCAGCAGCATCGCTTTCATCATCATCATCAGAGACACCATCATCATCAGCAGCAGCAGTATCATCATCGCCATCAGCATCATCATCAGCATCATCATCAACAGCATCATCACTCTAATCGTCATAATCAGCATCGTCATCAGCATCATGATCATCATCACCACCATCACCATCAGAATCACCATCATCATAATCAGCATCATCATCACCATCACCATCATCATCATCACCACCAAGACCATCATCATCAGCAGCATCATCATCATTATCATCATCGTCGTCATCATCAGTAACACCAAGGCCAGCATCGTGAAACACCCTTCACCTCCCACTCCTCCCATCCCATCCCTGCCTGTCCCGTCCGCATGTTTCTGCTTTGGCACACTCCTCACATGCTTCGTGGCCCCAGAGGAAGCTCCACCGAAGGCCTCACTATCATCGCCATCGTCAGCATCGTTCCTCTGCTGTCCGCATGTGCACAATGTCGGCACATCCCTCACACGGTTCCTGACTACATAGGGAGCTCCACCGAAAGCCCCAGTGGCAGGGTCCGCATGCGCCGGACGCCCATTTTGACACGCCCCTCACACAGCTCGTGGCCCCGTAGAGAGAGCTCCACCGACGGCCCCAGTGGCAGGGTCCGCATGCGCCCGACGTCAAATCTGGCACACCCCTCACACGGTTCGTTGCCCCATGGGAAGCTCCACCGAAGGCCCAATGGCAAGGTCCACCTGCGCCCGATACCGACTTTGGCACACCCCTCACATGGTTCGCGGCCCCATAAGGAGCTCCTCCGAAGGTCCCAATGGCAGGGTGCGCATGCGCACGACGCCCATTTGGCACACCCCTCACACGCTTCGTGGCCCCAGAGGGAGCTCCACCGAAGGCCCCAGTGGCAGGGTCCGCATGCGCCCGACGCCAAATCTGGCACACCCCTCACACGGTTCGTGGCTGGTCCCAATGGCAGGGTCCGCATGCGCACGACGCCCATTTGGCACACCCCTCACACGGTTCGTGGCCCCATAAGGAGCTCCTTCGAAGGCCCCAGTGGCAGGGTCCGCATGCGCCCGACGCCCAATTTGGCACACCTCTCACACGGTTCGTGGCCCCAGAGGGAGCTCTACCGAAGGCCCCAGTGGCAGGGTCCGCATGCGCCCGACGCCTGTTTTGGCGCACGCCGCACACGGTTCGTGGCGAGCTCCACCGAAGGCCCCAGTGGCAGGGTCCGCATGCGCCCGACGCCCATGTCAGCACACCCCTAACACGATTCTTGGCACCATAGAGAGAGCTCCACCGACGGCCCCAATGGCAGGGTCCGCATGCGCCCGACGCCCAATTTGGCACACCCCTCACACGGTTCGTGGCCCCATGGGAAGCTCCACCGAAGGCCCCAGTTCAAGGGTCCGCAGGCGCCCGACGCCCATTTTAGCACACCCCTCACACGGTTCGTGGCCCCAGAGGAAGCTCCAGCGAAGGCCCCAATGGCAGGGTCCGCATGCGCACGACGCTTCTGTTGACTCATCCCTCACACAATGCGTGGCCCCATAGGGAGCTCCACCTAAGGCCCCAATGGCAGGGTCCGCATGCACTACCCCGCCCACTTTGGCACACCCCTCAATCGGTTCGTGGCCGTAAGGAGCTCCACCGAAGGCCCCAGTGGCAGGCTCCACATGCGCCCGACGCCCATTTTGGCACACCCCTCACACGGTTCTTGGCCCCATTGTTAGGGAGCTCCACCGAAAGCGGCACCCGCAACGATGTAGTCACAAGTGCAGATGGCTGGATCTGTCGCCAGGATACTGATTCTGGGTTTCGACCTCTGGCCGAAGGATGGGCAAGGGGGGAGGTATGGGTCTGGGCCGGTGCTCCGTCGATCTGCTTCTACGCCGCCAAAGAGCAGCCGCCAAGAGCAGCCACGACGTGGCCTCTGGAGGGGGGAGTGGAGGCCAGCGGCCCGCGCCCATCGGCGAAGCAACGAATGAAAAAAACGGCGATGGCGACCCGGGAGATCCTCTGATCCAGGTTTCGCTTCCTTTTTTACCAGCGCAACACCCTAGAACAATCGATCGGATGTCTAGCGTCGGGCCCGTCCGAAAACCAACCGTAAACACGGCGCAACCTCGAGAAAGCGCAGAGCGACGAGGAAGAGGACCAGAGGAGCGAGCACGCACGCGGGACCATGGCCCCGCGCTCGAGCACCCCCTCCTCTGAGGGGATGGCACAACGAGAGCGGCCGCCTAAACACCCTCTAGTGTAAAGGCGGGCCCTCATCAAAGAAAACAACTGAGCTAGCCTCCCTCGGGGCCTGGCCCACGAACTTTGAAGTAGTTTCGCAGGTCTACTTTAGAAGACTGGGATCTGCTGGGGCCTGCACGGGGTCTCACTTCTTCTTCTTCTTATTATTATTATTCTTCTTCTCCTTCTTCTTCTTCTTCTTCTTCTTCGGGCGCTTCAGCAATCCGTGGGACCCGTCCCCGCCTCCCTTGAATATCAACTTCTCGAGCTCTTTGGCCGTCTTGGACCGTGGAGCTTCGTCGTCCTCCAGAATCAAACTCACATACTTCCGCCCCCCGTTGGCTTTGGCGAATGAAAAAAACGGCGATGGCGATGGCGACCCGGGAGATCCTCTGATCCAGGTTTCGCTTCCGCTGGCTTCCGCCGGCCATCCGCCAGCTTTGCGGGATCCGGCAAGATTCTGCAAGGTCCTGCAGGATCCTGCGCCCGAACCCAGGTCCGTGCAGCCCTGGCTCCGCAGCCTCTTGACGCCTCGGGGGCGAGGCCCCCGCCGGAACTGGCTATCTGCGCTCGGCGGGGCAGCGGCATCGCCAGCATGCGTGCGGCGGGCTCACGTCGTGACGGCTTGCGCAGTGGTTTCTGACACCGCGTGGATCACTCATCGGAGGAGGAGGAGGAGGTACCCATACATCTATCCTTGCCTCGTTTTCCCTTTTTCGCCATCCTGCGGGGCCCTCGTCTCCACCGCTGGATTCGCCTCGAAATTCTGGTCAGAACGTACCCCCGGGAGACATCCGGGGAGTAGCGGTATCGGTACCTTTGGGTTTCCCCGGCTCAACCTTGAACGATCATGGCTCTCCGATCGCGCAAGCTCGCTCGGTATCGGCAGATTTTGGGCCACTGGCGGTATTCAGCCCTGAACGCCCACGCTGGGATCGCCGCCGCGTCGCCGCGGCATGAACCTGCCTTAGACGTGCCGACGCCCCGGGCACCCCAGGTCGACCAGATGAGGTGCGAGGGGTCCACGAGCGGCGAACATAAACATTCCGTCGCCCCCCCCCCAGTCCTCCTCCTCCTCCTCCTCCTCCTCCTCCTCCTCCTCCTCCTCCTCCTCCTCCTCCTTCACCTCCTCCTCCTCCTCCTCCTCCTCCTCCTCCTCCTCCTCCTCCTCCTCCTCCTCCTCCTCCTCCTCCTCCTCCTCTTCCTCCTCCTCCTGCTTCTGCTCCTCGCCCTCGCCCTCGCGGCTGGATCCCGGGGCGCGACCCCGCGAATGCACAGTCGCGTGGACGCGCTCTGCGAGGGGCGGCTGCGAAGAAGCACCACGTAGCCTTTGGGGTCACGGCCCAGGGGTCCAGCCCGCGAGGCCGTGGATGCAGACCTGCGACGTCTTGACGGTCTCAACAGGGAGTCCCTGGAGCTCTGGACCACCTCCCACGGACGGGTTCTTCGTCCTGGATCGTGCATCGACTGTCCCGAGGCCCAGCGAGGGCACGCAATGGCCGAAAACGACGAACAGCCTCTGTATCGACCTCTTCAATGCGCTGGAGGTCTGGGGATATGGACGTAGAAATCAACTCACGGAAGCTTGTGGTCGTACCCATGGCGCCCGATGGCGCGCAAAGCGGACATGATGCACCTCCCTCCCATGGCGCAATGGGGCGCTAGTGGTCGCTGCTGGGCGCTGTATGAGCGCTACTTGAACGCTCTTCGGCGCTGCTGGGCGCTGTTCGGCGCTCTTGGGCGCTGCTGGGCGCTACTCGCCGATACGCATTCAACCCAGGACGAGCGGAAACTTCTGCGACTTCCAGTAGAGACCCGACCAAAAGAAACCCTGCACAAGACACCCAACCCTGAGACCCCAGGACGTCCCTCGAATTCTGGTGTGGGAGCGTCACGCTCTCCATCGAAAAGCAATCGAAATCCAAGCAACCCAGGGCAGCCTGGACGCAAGCCGGGGTGTTTCTTGGCATGGGTCTCCACTGCACCATCTGCATGGACGTGCTCCCGCCCCACGAGGAGCGGCGGCGCCTGGGGATCCTGGCTGAAGAGCTGCAGCGCCGCCTGCGCACGCCCCTCCGGCCCAGGAGGGGCAGGCAGACAGGCCGGCGGGCGCCGGGGCCATCGCCCGGCAGCAGGGGAAGAAACATCGACATGGCCACATGACAACTGGGAGGTCCGTGCGGACTCCTCGGATCGGCGCTGGACCCCCCTCCCTGGCGCGCGGAGCGCGCCAGGGGCGGCGCCGGACGCGCCGCCAGGGGGGGCCCCAGGGCCGATCCGAGGAGTCCGCGCGGACCTCCGGGTCTTTCTGCTTATGCACTCGCTCGGTTCCCCGAGGAAGATGGAGCGGTGCTGTTGCAGACTCCCGAGGGCACGCTGGGCCACCACCGGGGTCCCCACGCATGGGCTCCGGCACGCGGGGAGGCCCTGTGGGGTCTTGCGCTGACGCTCAGTAGAGCAACGGCCACAAACAAACACAGCGGCCCGCAGCCGTACTCCCTGGCCCGTTTGAGGCGTGGTCAAACGCCAGGTGCTGTGTGTCAGGGTTTCTGCAACTCTTGTAGGGGCCTCCAGGTGATGGACGGAGTCCTGCACCACCCGCGCGACCAGGGTGCCAGTGCAAACTTCAACGCGCCCCCTGCTCGCGATTGAATGCTGGTTGGCACCACCGGCGGGACGCAGGACTTCGGCCAGTCGGCAGATCGACACATCGCGGCGCAGCCCGCCGATATCATGTGGGGGGGGCGGGGGGCGGAGGGGGTGTTCACAAAAATCAGCATGCAAGATTCAAGATTTCGTCCATCAAGCGTGTCCCCTCTTCTCCTCCCCCTCCTCCTCCTCCTCCTCCTCCTCGTCCTCCTCCTCTTCCTCCTCCTCCTCCTCCTCCTCCTCCTCCTCCTCCTCCTCCTCCTCCTCCTCCTCCTCCTCCCCCCTCTTCTGACACTCAGCCGCAAGCATGCCCCCCTCCTGAGGCTTCCTGGGAGGCTTCCTGGGCAGCCCGACGGTCCCCTCTCGGGTTCTTTAAGGCTCCAAGCAAGGCCGACCAGGTCGCCAAGATGGCGCAAATACTGCCGCAAGAGACACCCAAACAACCCCCAAGCAGACCACGAGAGTAGTCTACTCTCATGGTCGATACCCATACTGACTGGAAGAAGCGCATGGGAAGATAAAAGAAGGTAAAAAGATACCCACGGGCCTGGCCCATGGTAATGGCATAGTAGTTGTCTCGACTGGGGGAACAAAGAGCGGGCATAAGCGTAACTTCTCGTAGGTCCGCGCGGATTTCTTGGATCGGCGCTTGAGAGGGCTCCAAGAGGCCGCCCCCAAGACAGCCCCTAAAAGCATCCCCCAGACGGCCGCGAGGGCCCCCCCAAAACGGCCAGAGACTGCCCAAGAGGGCCCAGGACGGCCCAAGACAGAAGGGTCCCAAGAGGGCCCTCACACGGCCCCACAGGAGCCAAGAGACATCCCCAAGACAGCCCAAGGTACGAGAACCCCTCCCCCAAGGAATCGAGACAAGCGGTGTCGCATGTTACGGCCTTCTGCACGGTACTGGAAGCGTCGCCGCACCAGAGTGCTACTGGCGCCTGGCACGAGTCGGAGCGTACCGCAGGCAACTGGGTATAGGAACGAAAATCAGCTGCAACGTTCACATGTTTCGCCCTGGGGAATTTCAAGCCTGGCCTGCGTGGCAGATCATGGAACTAGATGTTGCCAGAGGGAAGAGATGACGTCGTGTTTTCCAGACCCTTCCCATCACCAACACACTTCCAATGAATGCATTTCAGCCTCAAGTTCACCGGCACTTCGCTTTGCTTCGTTTTTAAATCCACCGACCCTGTCGGCGTGTGGAAGGTTCTCTTCCGTTGGTCGCCGTCGTCGTCGTGTCGTCTCCGTCGTCTCCTCATCGTCTCAGTCGTCGTCTCCGTCTCCGTCGTCTCCTCCCTCGTCGTCTCCGTCAATCGTCGTCTCCATCGTCCCCCGTCTCCTTTCCCTGGGCCTTCCTCCTTCAGCGCGCCAGCCAAAGCGACATTGAGCAACGTCGCAGCTGAGTCGAAGGGAAGCCCTTCCCTTTGATCCCTTCCCCGCCGGAGGGGGTCCTGGGAGGGGTCCCAGGGGGGGGGGGGGGTCACAGGGGTGCGTCGCCACCCAGATACGCATCCCCACTGGGCGGTTCTGGGGCCCAGAAAAGCTCCAAGACGCGGCAAGAGCGCCCCAAGAGGCCCCCAAGAAGGTCCTCGAGGGCCCCCCGAATCGCTGAAATATCGGTCCAAGGCGCCAAAGTATCCTCCAGACGTCTCAACAGGTTTCAAAACGCCCCAAGAGGCCTCCAAGAGCTCTCCTAAGAGGGCCCCAAGGGGCAAAAATCATCGATGTTCCTCAAGTGTTTGACAGATTTTGGCGTGCTCGCCTTGTCGGCTTCCCGAAGCTCCAAGACAGCCCAAAAGGCCCAAAATATCGCCCAAGAGGCCTTCAAGAGGGCCCCAAAACGACCCAAGAGGGCCCCAAGACCGCCCAAGAGGCCTCCAAGACAGCCCAAGAGACCGCCAAGACGGCTTCAAGAGGGAGCCCAGACAGGGGGACCCGAATGGACATTTTGAGCCCTCGGCCTGAGAGGCTTCTGGGAGGCCCCCAGGAGACCCCCAAGAAGCCCCCCAAGAGACCCCCAGAAAGCCCCTAGAGAACCCCACGAGGCTCCCAAGAGGCCTCCACGAGGCTTCCAAGAGGCCCCAAACTACCCCCCAAGAGGCGCCAGAGTCGTCGTCGTCGTCGTCGTCGTCGTCGTCGTCGTCGTCGTCGTCGTCGTCGTCGTCGTCGTCGTCGTCGTCGTCGTCGTTGTCGTCGTCGTCGTCGTCGTCGTCGTCGTCGTCGTCGTCGTCGTCGTCGTCGTCGTCGTCGTCGTCGTCGTCGTCGTCGTCGTCGTCGTCGTCGTCGTCGTCGTCGTCGTCGTCGTCGTCGTCGTCGTCGTCGTCGTCGTCGTCGTCGTCGTCGTCGTCGTCGTCGTCGTCGTCGTCGTCGTCGTCGTCGTCGTCGTCGTCGTCGTCGTCGTCGTCGTCGCGTCGTCGTCGTCGTCGTCGTCGTCGTCGGTCGTCGTCGTCGTCGTCGTCGTCGTCGTCGTCGTCGTCGTCGTCGTCGTCGTCGTCGTCGTCGTCGTCGTCGTCGTCGTCGTCGTCGTCGTCGTCGTCGTCGTCGTCGTCGTCGTCGTCGTCGTCGTCGTCGTCGTCGTCGTCGTCGTCGTCGTCGTCGTCGTCGTCGTCGTCATCGTCGACGTGCCGTCTCGTCGTCGTCGTCGTCGTCGTGGTCGTCGTGGTCGTCGTCGTCGTCGTCCTCGTCGTCTTCTTCGCCGCCGCCGCCGTCGGTGTCGTCGTCGTCGTCGTTGTTCAGGGTCGGCGGCTCCGGCCGTAAGGCCTCTCCAATACGCTAAAGTGGCTGTTGAAGACCGAATGTCGAATCGACGCCGATTTCTGGTCCTGCATCTGTTAGCGTTGTTTGGCAGGAGCGTCACTGAAATTCCCTCGGGAACCACTCTTGAGAACCAAAGAACACGTTCCGGGGATGGATGTACCGTGCCTGACGAAACCCATCGACACGTCGTCCGCCTTCCGGATGCACCACGGTGGTATGAAGCCTTCGGCCATTGCGAGGCCACCTTCGTCGCGCTCACGCTGGACTCTCAGCTTCTGTGCTTGCTGGCTTGCTAGAAAAGAAAACATATGACCAGAATGCAAGACGCGTGCGGAGAAAGTCTGGTATGCTGGCGGTCTTCGAGTGGACCTTCCAATGAGAACGACTAGCGAAGGCCACTGGATGGAAGGGTGACTTACGTAAACGATGACGCACCACATCTTCGCTGCCTGGTGCAAGCGCCCCTGCACAATGGGTGCGTCACCGAAAGAAGTACTTGCTCATCCCGTGGACATTGGCCACGGTTTTGGCGGCTTAGAATCGTGCACTGTACGTCTGAATAAGATCCGTTGCAAACGATAGGGTTCGGTATCGCCGATCCACTGTCCTATGCAGATCCGCTGTCTGTAATTACCGGCACTCCTCTGCTAACTACGCTCACGGAGACTATTGAGCAGGTGTCGTGGAAAACGATTGCCGATCGCAAGAATCTGGACGATGAAAGCGTGTCCCACCTCGGAGACAGCATTTCAAAAAAATCGCACACTGGTGCAGGCATATGCTGCACCAGAGACCGCGGCGCTGCTCCACTTCGAGGCCCTCAATACGGGTTGACGCGGATGTGACTGATCTTCAGCACTCCGCGACTGCCCATCCAGCGGCTGGTCAGCACCGTGAGCACCGAGAGTATGCCGACCGCGAGCATGTAGGCGGCCGGGGCCGAGATTGGGCCGCGCGGGTCCAGCATATGGTTCCCTGCCTCCGAGATGAGAGGACCGACCCCGCCAAAGACGCCCACCCCGAGGTTATACGCGAGGGACACGCCCGTCACGCGAACGCGCGTCGGGAACAGCTCGATTGCCCACAGGTAGACCGAGGCGGTGAGCGCGATCAGGACACCGAGAATCACCTGGCCGAGATACACGGCCAGCACGGCGTCGGAGCCGGGGACGTGCGTCCACCAGTAGAAGAGCGGCAGCGGGGCGACCACGCACCCCGCGGCCAGCGCGAGCAGGTAGACGCGCCCGGCGCCCCAGACGTCCACGAGCAGCCCGACCACGGGGGACAGGACCGTGGGAAGGAGGTACACGACCAGCTCGGAGAGGGTCACCGCAGAGGGCGGCAGGCCGTCGTAGGTCTGGATGAACTGCACGCCGTAGACCGGCGGCACGTACCAGAGGGCCCCGCAGCCGGCAGTGCCCAGGGTGCCGACCAGGAGTTGAGGCCAATAGTCGAGGAGCAGCTCCCTCAGAGGAGCCGATTGGCCTGGGCACTTCACGGCTCCAGAGTCTCCCTCCTCTAACTCCACGCCCTGATGCTTCGACTCGACGAACTCCTCCGACTCGGTGAGCCAATGGCGACCGATGACAACCAACGCGCCAGGAAAGATGGCACTGAGATATGGGATCCGCCACCCCCACTCCATCATCTGCTCCGTGTTGAGAAAGCTCTCCATGACGAAGACCACGAGCGCGGCAACCACGTAGGCGCCAAAGGCTCCGCACACGGCGATCCACGAGGTGTTGAAGCCCAGCCTCTCTCTGGGCGACACCTCCGAGATGTACACCGCCGCGGTTGTCAGCTCGCCGCCCGCGCTCAGGCCCTGGAGCGTGCGAAGCAGCAGCATGAGGATCATCCCCACCCAGCCCCAGCTGTCGCCGCAGGAGTGGAAGGTCGGGAGGCAGCCCTGCAGAATCGTCGTCACCAGCATGCACATGATGGTCAGCTGCATCGCTGGCTTTCGGCCCAGCTGGTCTGCCATCCAACCGAAAACAGCACCTCCGATCGGCCTGAACAAGAAGGTGATCGCGAAGGCGGCCCAAGTTCCATACGCTCCGGTGCTACCTGGGAAGAAGTTGCCGGCGATGTAGATGGAGAGGTAGCCGAAGATGGCGAACTCGTACCACTCGATGAAGGAACCGGCGGCTGCTGGAAGTATCCTCCAAAGGACGCCACCGAGAGTGATGCCCTTGGGGCCGTCACCAAACACATCTGGGACTCTCGCGTCGACGTTGCGTGCCCCCGTCATTGCCATACCTGGGTCCTTGCTTCAACTCCCTTCAATCGTCGACTGAAGTCTTGGTCCCGTGGACTGAAGCTAGTTTGGCCAAATGTCTTCGGAAACATCAGAAAGTGTTGCAAAAGTTCTTAGTGTGCTGTGTGGCTGTCGCATCACCCCAGCAAATGAAGAAATAAACAACTGCATAAACATAGTCTTCCAGAGCTCCCTGGCGCGCGGAGCGCACCAGAGGCAGCGCTGGAGGCGCCGCCAGGGGGACCCGAGCGCCGATCCAAGAAATCCACGCGGGGCTCCGAAAGATTATGTCTATGCCGCTTCCCATTCTTCGAGCAACAAGGCCCGATGGCTGGACGCTCGTGATCCGGCCTGGCTCAAGCAGGCCCCCCCGATCTGGGAACATCGGGTGCACCCTGTGAGGCCTGGACCGCCGCGAATCCTGCGCCCCTGCCACAAGTTGCTGGACCTGGGAGACTTGGAATGGTGAGAGTCGCATTCCCTCGCCACGATTTGCTGGGACCTTGGAGAACCTCATAGGCCCTGCCACACACTGACTGTCCGACGCCCCTGACACACTCTCCTGAAAGGCTCCTGGGAGGCCCCCAGGAGACCCCCAAGAAGCCCCCCAAGAGACCCCCAGAAAGCCCCTAGAGAACCCCACGAGGCTCCCAAGAGGCCTCCACGAGGCTCCCAAGAGGCCCCAAACTACCCCCCAAGAGGCGCCAGATCGTCGTCGTCGTCCGCGTCGTCGTCGTCGTCGTCGTCGTCGTCGGCGTCGTCGTCGTCGTCGTCGTCGTCGTCGTCGTCGTCGGCGTCGGCGTCGGCGTCGGCGTCGGCGTCGTCGTCGTCGTCGTCGTTGTCGTCGTCGTCGTCCTCGTCGTCTTCTTCGCCGCCGCCGCCGTCGGTGTCGTCGTCGTCGTTCAGGGTCGGCGGCTCCGGCCGTAAGGCTTCTCCAATACGCTAAAGTGGCTGTTGTAGACCGAATTGCGAATCGACGCCGATTTCTGGTCCTGCGTCTGTTAGCGTTGTTTGGCAGGAGCGTCACTGAAATTCCCTCGGGAACCACTCTTGAGAACCAAAGAACACGTTCCGGGGATGGATGTACCGTGCCCGACGAAACCCATCGACATCTCGTCCGCCTTCCGGATGCACCACGGTGGTCTGAAGCCTTCGGCCATTGCGAGGCCACCTTCGTCGCGCTCACGCTGGACTCTCAGCTTCTCTGCTTGCTGGCTTGCTAGAAAAGAAGACATATGACCAGAATGCAAGACGCGTGCGGAGAAAGTCTGGTATGCTGGCGGTCTTCGAGTGGACCTTCCGATGAGAACGACTAGCGAAGGCCACTGGATGGAAGGGTGACTTGCGTAAACGATGAAGCACCACATCTTCGTTGCCTGGTGCAAGCGCCCCTGCACAATGGGTGCGTCACCGAAAGAAGTACTTGCTCATCCCGTGGACATTGGCCACGGTATTGGCGGCTTAGAATCGTGCACTGTACGTCTGAATAAGATCCGTTGCAAACGATAGGGTTCGGTATCGCCGATCCACTGTCCTATACAGATCCGCTGTCTGTAATTACCGGCCCTCCTCTGCTAACTACGCTTACGGAGACTATTGAGCAGGTGTCGTGGAAAACGATTGCCGATCACAAGAATCTGGACGATGAAAGCGTGTCCCACCTCGGAGACAGCATTTCAAAAAGATCGCACACTGGTGCAGGCATATGCTGCACCAGAGACCGCGGCGCTGCTCCACTTCGAGGCCCTCAATACGGTTTGGACCGGATGTGACTGATCTTCAGCACTCCGCGACTGCCCATCCAGCGGCTGGTCAGCACCGTGAGCACCGAGAGTATGCCGACCGCGAGCATGTAGGCGGCCGGGGCCGAGATTGGGCCGCGCGGGTCCAGCACGTGGTTCCCTGCCTCCGAGATGAGAGGACCGACCCCGCCAAAGACGCCCACCCCAAGATTATACCCGAGGGACACGCCCGTCACGCGAACGCGCGTCGGGAACAGCTCGATTGCCCACAGGTAGACCGAGGCGGTGAGCGCGATGAGGACACCGAGAATCACCTGGCCGAGATACACGGCCAGCACGGCGTCGGAGCCGGGGACGTGCGTCCACCAGTAAAAGAGCGGCAGCGGGGCGACCACGCACCCCGCGGCCAACGCGAGCAGGTAGACGCGCCCGGCGCCCCAGACGTCCACGAGCAGCCCGACCACGGGGGACAGAAGCGTCGGGATGAGGTACACGACCAGCTCGGAGAGGGTCACCGCAGAGGGCGGCAGGCCGTCGTAGGTCTGGATGAACTGCACACCGTAGACAGGCGGCACGTACCAGAGGGCCCCGCAGCCGGCAGTGCCCAGGGTGCCGACCAGGAGCTGAGGCCAATAGTCGAGGAGCAGCTCCCTCAGAGGAGCCGATTGGCCTGGGCCTTTTACGGCTCCAGAGTCTCCCTCCTCTAACTCCACGCCCTGATGCTTCGACTCGACGAACTCCTCCGACTCGGTGAGCCAATGGCGACCGATGACAACCAACGCGCCAGGAAAGATGGCACTGAGATATGGGATCCGCCACCCCCACTCCATCATCTGCTCCGTGCTGAGGAAGCTCTCCATGACGAAGACCACGAGCGCGGCAACCACGTAGGCGCCAAAGGCTCCGCACACGGCGATCCACGAGGTGTTGAAGCCCAGCCTCTCTCTGGGCGACACCTCCGAGATGTACACCGCCGCGGTTGTCAGCTCGCCGCCCGCGCTCAGGCCCTGGAGCGTACGGAGCAGCAGCATGAGGATCATCCCAAGCCAGCCCCAGCTGTCGCCGCAGGAGTGGAAGGTCGGGAGGCAGCCCTGCAGAATCGTCGTCACCAGCATGCACATGATGGTCAGCTGCATCGCTGGCTTTCGGCCCAGCTGGTCTGCCATCCAACCGAAAACAGCACCTCCGATCGGCCGGAACAAGAAGGTGATCGCGAAGGCGGCCCAAGTTCCATACGCTCCGGTGCTACCTGGGAAGAAGTTGCCGGCGATGTAGATGGAGAGGTAGCCGAAGATGGCGAACTCGTACCACTCGATGAAGGAACCGGCGGCTGCTGGAAGTATCCTCCAAAGGACGCCACCGAGAGTGATGCCCTTGGGGCCGTCACCAAACACATCTGGGACTCTCGCGTCGACGTTGCGTGCCCCCGTCATTGCCATACCTGGGTCCTTGCTTCAACTCCCTTCAATCGTCGACTGAAGTCTTGGTCCCGTGGACTGAAGCTAGTTGGGCCAAATGTCTTCGGAAACATCAGAAAGTGTTGCAAAAGTTCTTAGTGTGCTGTGTGGCTGTCGCATCACCCCAGCAGATGAAGAAATAAACAACTGCATAAACATAGTCTTCCAGAGCTCCCTGGCGCGCGGAGCGCACCAGGGGCAGCGCTGGAGGCGCCGCCAGGGGGACCCGAGCGCCGATCCAAGAAATCCACGCGGGGCTCCGAAAGATTATGTCTATGCCGCTTCCCATTCTTCGAGCAACAAGGAACGATGGCAGGACGCTCGTGATCCGGCCTGGCTCAAACAGGCCCCCCCGATCTCCTCGAGTGCCTGGGCCTGGGGACCTGGAGCGGTGGGAGCCCGATCCCCCCTGCCGCACGGCCTGGTCCTAGGAGAAGCTGTGGCCCGCATGGTGCTCTCTCGCAGGGACGGTAGGACTCGGGCACCCGGGCCTGGGCAAGATGGAGAGGGCCAGGGGAACCGTGGCCCGCATGGACAAGAGTATGCTGTGATCGTCAGGGTCGTGCGCTGGGGCGTGCGCAACGCAAACGACCACAAAAGCACGCAGGCATGCTGCTGCAGCGGGATGGTGGTGATCAAGCGCAGGGGCGTGTTCAACGTAGAACCGAGGACGTGGCATGCACGCTACCATCTAGCGATTTTACGGCCACGGTCGTTGACCCCCATCTGAGTGATATAGCGAAACCACGTCATGGATGAAAAAAGAAATCTGGACAATCGGTGGACGTAAGATCAGCGATGGAAGCCCTGATAGTCAACAGGACGATCAAGCCCAGTGCAGGCCGCACTCGCCGACGTACGCGTGCGGGCACGTGATACTGCCTGCCCTGACTTCGACCCTGCGAGTTGTTTCACCTGGACCTGTGCGCTCGCGCAGCCCCCAAGACGAAGACGAGCCTTGGCCCTTCATGACACAAACTTTTCAAAAGCATCCCCTCGAGACCCATGGGACGCACAGAGACATACTGATACTAGATGTCGTCCTTGGAAGCGCGCGTCCGACCCGAACATATGGTGTACCCATCTTGTAGTATATCGTTTCCCGAGCGGTGTGGCCAGATAGCGCCCGCCAGGACGCATATAATGTAAGATTTCTCGGTGCGCGCGTC